TAACGATATTTAGTAAGCACATACAACGGTATATTTATTTATATATTTTTTAAATTATTATTCTTTGCACGAGAAATTATATTTGACGACAGCTTTTTAGTAAAAAACTAGCCTGAAGAATTCTTTAACTGTAGACCATCACTAACACAATTTAGCTGACAAAATCTTTCAGACAGGAAAATTCACTGATAAAAGGCGGGAGAAACTTCCAGCAAAAAAAAAAAATGTTTTTTTTTTTCTGATGAGTGCGAGCTGGGGTAGACCCCCTCCCTCCCCACCCCCTCTCCTACTGCGTCAGTAGGTCAAAGGTCACAGCTACAACCTTTTCAATGACAAATTACCCCGTGTAGCCCACTAATGACGTAGGTCAGACAACCGGAATTTTTTTTGTCAACGGTGTTTGGTTCTGGTGGGTTCTATATTCACTAGCACGGCGCATGCCCAGTTGTTTTTTTAGGGGGGGGGGGGGGGGGTGGTGGCATTTGGTATGGTGGTCGGGGGGAGCGGAGGCATTTGGTGGGGAGGGGGTATTGTGTGTGGTGGGGGATGGTGGTATTTGGTATGGTGGTCGGGTGGCTTTTGGTGGGGAGGGTGGTATTTGGTATGGTGGGGAGGGTGGTATTTGGCGGGGAGGGGGGCATTTGGTGTCAAATCAAATGTCTTTATCTTGGTTTCTGGTTATTTTAAATATTTTAGCAGAAAAAAACGTGTGTTAAATACATTTAAAATGGCATACGTTCCACATTTAAATGTAGATCTAGGTTGAACTATTTTTGTTTATTGTGGAATATATTCTACCACCAACACCTTTTTGCACGCACGCACACACAACACACACACACTCACACAAAACACACATATAACACACACTTCCATATCATTCACACCAACAAACGCAACATAAAACAGGCATCACACCACATTGACGTATTTAGCTCCCAGCAACCCGCAAACAACTACGAGTACCCACACTCCCACACACAGCCACAAGCTTACACACACTTACCCCCTCCCCCCACATAGTACTTACACCACCCCACGTACTACCACAACCACCACCCACACGCTACTACCACCACCACTCTCTCACTATCCCCACCACCCACACAATCCCCAAAATTCACACACAACCACCATCACCACCCACACACAACCCCCACCACCCACACAATCCCTCAAAATACACACACAACCACCATCACCACCCACACACAACCCCCACCACCCACACAATCCCTCAAAATGCACACACTACCACCATCACCATCCACACACAAACACCATCACCACTCACACACTGCCTCCACCATCCACACACTGCCACCCCAACTATTTTGGAACCCAGTCTAATGGTAACTCCTCCCTTAATATCAACCACGTTAACAACAGTAGGCGGATCACAGAGCTTACGACAGTGCTAACACGATTATTTCACTAGCTGAGCCAACACATACATTCACCCCCCCCCCTTCCCTCTACCACACGCATCTCTACACTACTCTAACAGTAAATCTCACTATCCTACACCACAACATACAAACCAACCTTCCTCACACACAACACCTCTAAAAATCCTTCTACACCCTCACACAATCTACCCCCTCCCTACCCCACACACACCTTTCATTAATGTTATCTCATTTCGTTCCAGTAAACGAAATCCCTGCCTCCGCCCCTGACAGATTTGTCTTCCCCCTGTATGTTTCTTGGTTATCTGCCCTCGCCATTGTTTTCTCTGGAAGCGAAAAATGTGCCGACTCGACGCTACGCTGTGCAACAGCCCAAGAGGCAATCTCGGTAAGGTTGCCTCCCATCATCCGGCTAAATAATGCAAGGGGAGAACACTGCCGTTTTATGGACGTCACTTTCTAATTATAGACAAAAGGCTAATCCCGGTTCTTACACCAGTACTAATCCCAGCTCCGAATTTAGCTCAATTTCAATGTAAACGTAAAGCTCCGAGTTTAAAAAAAAAGCTGACCTTTTCCTGTTTACTTTAGGGAAGTGATTCCGCCTCCCCCGTTCCTTTACACAAATCGAATGAAAGAAATCAATGAAGCGACCGAGGACGTTGAACCGTTATGCTGTTCAATTGATCTAATCCAATCACCACTCCCCCCAGGCGCGTGTCTATCAACCGATATGCTCATGGAATGTGCACGCTACGCAGTGCGCGTGCTCTAAGGGATTACTCACCCCGCGTATGATAAACGCGCGCGCATCAAGTACTCACACATACACTGTATGTAAGTCATAAACTCTACAATTTCCCTCACTCATATAACTACATTTCATATTTCTAAAAAAAAATTAATAGTTATGCTAATGAGGACTAGTGGGTGAAACGTCACTTTGAATCAACATACATAATAATCATCATAAGCGTGTAGAGGTCAGTGATGAACGGTCTGGTAAATGAGGAGTAATTAGGTAAAGGAGAGGGGGGGTATAGAGGGAAGGAGACTTCATAACTAAACGTGAGTGGTAGTCCCCTCCCCCACCCACCCTTCCATACCCACCCCCTGTGTTATTCGTGAGATGTAAATCATAAGAGAGTGGGGGGGGAGGGACGTGTTCGCGTCAGAAAGAAGTTGAAGTGCTCATTCCATCACACGCAAGAGTCGTGCCAGGTAAGTTGCACGTGCAGGGGCGCGCGTGCTAGCATTTACCTGTGTGGGTGTGTAGCTGGGGAAGGTGTGCACATGCAGGTAAACGGTGTACACACGTACGTGTGTGCTGAGATTTTTTTTTCGTGAACACAAATGTGTGATTCTACCGATGTGGGATGGTAAGGGAACTATTGTAAGGGGTCCTCGGGACGTGGTCTTAGGGTAGGGACGTGATCCTACGTGATCATAGAAACGTGATCCGAGGTATCCAAACGACGTAATCCTAGGGAAACTAGTCGTGATACTGGGGTTGTAACGTTCTTCTAGAAACTGACGTTTTGTAAAAGAACATACGTGATCCTGAGATTGAAACTTGATCTTAGGGAACAGACGTGATCCTAGTTAAAACGTGATCTAATGGAGGGAACATAGCTGATCCTGAGGGAAATACTAAGTTAAAGACGTGATCCTAGGAACCAGAAAGACGTGGAACCGAAACGTGATCTCAGGGAACAAAAATATGTGATCCTGTGTGTCACATGTGATCCTTATAAACAGAGAACGTATCCTGTGTAAAACTCCTGTTCCCGGGGAACATACAAAATGGATCACGGGGAACATTGGGGTTGTTATCTAGGGGGAAAAATGTCCCGATAAGACGAGGACTGTGTGATCACAGGGAACATGTTCCCCACCCGGAGGAACATATCTCTCCAGGGGAACACTTGATATTATCTAAGTGGCTGTGATACATCGCCGCCATTTTATTGGTACATTCCCGCAAAGTCTGGCGCAATGCACGCCGGTCCTAGTGTTCGCGTGGTACCTAGTGTGTTTTAACCATCATGGCGCTAGTGTTCGCGTGGTACCTAGTGTGTTTTTACCATCAACCGTGCCACTAAATGTGTTCTAGATATTTTGGGCTGAGCTAACTACCCAGCAGGACGGTGAGTTATTAGAACACACTGTCCGACATATTGGATGATTATCTAGGTGAAGGTGAAGGTCAAACTGGTAATGATCTAGTTCTGTTTCGGGTCAACGATTGGGATTCCCTGGGCTTAACCGAATTTTTTTAAGCCTACGTCATACACCACACTATACCACACTATACCACACAACATCAGACTACACCACACCACACAACACCACACTACAGCACACTATACCACACCACACCACACTATACCACACAACACCACACTATACCACACCACACCACACTATACCACACCACACCACACCACACTATACCACACTATACCACACCACACTATACCACACCACACTATACCACACCACACCACACTATACCACACCACACTATACCACACCACACTATACCACACCACACTATACCACACCACACTATACCACACCACACTACACTACAGCACACTACAGCACATACACAGACACTCAGAGCCTTATAGATCCCTCACACACACACACTCATAGCCACACAGACCACTCACACACAATAACAGACACATCGATCCCTCTCGCACACACTCACATACTCATTGCTACAATGACCCTTCCCACACACATACCAACCCACCAACACATTAATACCACACACACACCAAACAAAACCCAACGTATTGCCGACCTACCTTTGTTTACCAGCAGATCAAAAAAAATCAAGGAGATTAATGAAAGGATTTTACAACTTAGGCATCAATAATTAAGCTAGCTGGTATGGTTTCACTTAATCTGGGGTTTCGTTTGAAAGATTAACCCATAAACATACAACAGAGGGGGAAAATATACCGTTGGGTTACCTGACAAATGAGTTGCCGTTAGAAATGTACACATTATCTCAAATCGTACATTATACTTTCAGTGATATATAATTAAGGAAAATAATTTAAAGCAGCTGTAAGTTAGCTGGTCATTTAAAAAATAATGGTTTAGCAGATACCAGACCCGTACAGATGTAGAAAGCAGACAGACAAACAAGGACACCCAGGTAGGGAGACTTTCTAGATCTAAACAAAATTTTGAGGAAGGCCAAAGATGAGGGATTCACTAGGAGATAGGCAGACATCTGATTAGATAAACACCCGCAGACTTGCTTAAGATTTCCAACATTGGATTGAATTTTACGTTTGTAGAGGCATATAATACAGAGATAGATAACGAAAAGTGAGAAGCCGAGAAAGACATTTTAGAGGGATTTATACATGGAGAGAGACAGAAAATACATAGTCAGACATTACAGAGTTTAGAGGAGACAGACACGCAGAGAAAGTACTGAAAATCTAGTGCGCATTTTGAAAGAGGTTAAACATTGAGAAAGACAGACAATTCACGGGCAGACAATATAGAAATTGACAGAGACAGGCAAGCTGAAAAAGACATGTAAAATGTGAATATCTTGAATGAATTTTACGAGGAGAGAGACAGACATAGCTGACAATACAGAGAGGCAAAAGCAGAGGCAGACACAGCAAAGACAGACACATCAAAGACAGACACACCAGAGACAGACAGACCAGACACAGCAACTCCAGACTCACCTCCATCCGCGTAACTCTCGCAGCCGTATCCGTCTTGCAGGCCCGTGGTCCACGTGCCCTCGTACCTGGCACCGGACGTGGTGCTGGCCCGGACCCCATACCGGCCCTTGAAGCCCTGGGTCCACTCCCCGCGGTACACCCAGCGGCCCTTGTTCTCCACCCCTAGCCCGTGTCGCTTGCCCTGAAACCACTGGCCCTTGTACGCGTTACCGCTGGGCCAGGTGTACACCCCCGACACCTCGAACCCGTACTGCCACGCCCCGGCGTACTCCCCCTGGCCTTTGGGTCCCGTGCAGACGCCATTGCCGTGGGCCTTCCCGTCCTCCCAGCCTCCGCAGTAAGTGCCCCCATCGTCGAAATCGAATCTCCCTCCTCCTGTTGTCATTGGTCCACGGTAGTGACTAGAAGCATGGCGTCATGTAAACAAATCGCGATGACGTCAGACGACGGCAAGGGAGGGAACTCACAACAATTTGCGAGTTATCTTTTCTTTATTTGCCGAATTTATTGAAGAATATATATTTTAATACACTTTTTCAATTCTTGAAACACTCAGAAAATATCGACGTATCAACTTTGTTTGTTTAAAAAAACGGTAATCCAAAATAAAGAGAATTTTTTTTCTTGCTTATGAAACTAGCAAGCTCATAAACTGAATTTGGCAGTGTATCCGTGAAAACTCCTGGCACAAAGAATTAATCCATTGCCGCTTTGGTTAGTTCAGACCAAAGTTGTGAGCTGAGCGAGAGTCGAAAATAGGTTGCTTCTACAAAATTTGCTGGATCTTGTTCCACTGCCACCGCGGTCTTGTCGCTGGTGGATCCAGTGTCTGTGGGGAAAATAATGGACAAATGTTGGACAAATAGTGGAACAATAATGGGAAAATAATGGGAAAATAATGAGAAAATAATTGGAAATTAATGGGAAAATTGAAAAAATTATGGAAAAATAATAGGAAAATATTTAAAAAATGTAACAATTACAATAAAAACAAACACAAAAAAAGGATAATGGAAATCATGGGAGAATGATGGAGAAACCATTTTTAAAATATGAGAAAATGACGGAAAATTGATGAAACCATTATTTTTCAAATGACGGAAAAAAGTGGAAAAAATAATGGAAAAAATCTGATTGAAAATGTTGGGTTAATTATTCAAAGGTTAATTATTCTAAGATTAATTATACAAAGATTAATTATGAACATGCTCATTAGTTTTTTGATGAGGCATCAATCACTTTCTACAGCTATCACACGTGCCTGACACTGTAGAGCCTAGGTACTGACAAGTTATTATAACGAATAAAAAGCACTACATATACTGTATCGAGTTAAAATATAGTAATTGTAAAGTGTATCGAGTTCTTTTTTTTTTAAATCTCTTTATTTATCAGACGAATTTTTTTTTAAATCGCTACATTTATTGTAACATTATTCCTAAGTCAACCACTCATACCACAAGTGCCTGCTGATGAACGAACACAACATCAAATGGTGAAATACAGAGAAAATGTGAAAAACCAATTCAAAAACAGGCAAAGTCAAACCAGTAACGATAAAAAAACATAAGTGAACGCAATCAAAATTTAATTAACTAAAACCACTATAATCCCAGTCCACCGTATAATCCCAGTGTGCCTTTTTGCTATTCACATTAACATTCTCGATTTTTTTCTCCTAGCTTGAACACACGCTACGCAAAAATTGCTTTCCTCTTTATCCAATCAATAAAATTTAAAGCACAATCACAATGATTGTTGTAGAAAACAGTCGAGAATCCAACAGAGAAATAAAAATGTCTTGCCAACATGGCAACTCTAACTGATGTCAAGATTTCATGTGATGTCATGTGATGTCATGTGATGTCATGTGATGTCAACATCCCCCCGTTCTGTAACACAACAGCGCCATGTTTTGATTGAATCCCCTACTTGAACGAACCTCGGCGTACACACAATAAATCACGACGACGCCATCTTGACGGTAGCCATGCGCAGTGGCCAACTTCCTGTCTCTAACTCGCTCTAACAGATATATTCCGTTTGTGATTTTGTGAATGAAACAGAAAAAAAAAATGAAGATCAGTATCGATTTCGCCTCTTCGCCAGCTGACAGAGCCAGCGCTAGGCTATCTATCATATTATTACATTTTTTTTTCATCCTTCCTCCCGGTATCGATTCGGCTCGGGTGTACTCGGTAATCGATACCGTCCACCGGTTTTAACTCACTTTAGTAGTTAAGTCGAAGGACAACAGAGAAAGCGAAACATTAGGTCACGTGATTTTAGTGGTGCTCTATTCAGGGCAGGGGAGTGGGGTAGTGAGGAGGGGTGACGGGAAAGGAGGGGTGGTTGGAAAAATTTTGGCGGGTTTTGTACATTTGTGTCCAGCATGGGAACGTTACAGAATAAACGCTGGGGTCAAGGTCAGGCTGGAATTGCTGGAGAATGTTCGGGAGAGTTTGTAGGATCGCCGGAAGTTGTCAGGGATTCAGTGGTGACTGGCAGGCATGATGGGACTATAGACGTCAGGTATCAGGGGCGTCGGCAGTTGGGGGTCGGCAGCTGGGGGTCGACAGTTGGGGGTCAACTGTTAGGGGTCGATCGTTGGGGGTCGGCAGTTGGGGGTCGGCAGTTGGGGGTCGGCAGTTGGGGGTCGACAGTTGGGGGTGGGTATTTGGGGGTCGGCAGTTGGGGCTCGACAGTTGGAAGTCGGCAGTTGGGGGTGGATAGTTGGGGGTGGATAGTTGGGGGTGGGTAGTTGGGGGGTGGGTAGTTGGGGTTGGCAGATGGGGGTCGGCAGTTGGGAGGGTGGGTAGTTCGGGGTCGGCAGTTGGGGGTCGGCAGTTGGGGGTCGGCAGTTGGGGGTCGGAAATTTTTCGCGGGTCAGCAGGCACAGCTTACTGCGCCAGTTTTTTGGTCCACATGAAGTCAAAGATGTGTGGATATTCCTCTTTCATAACCCGTAAATAACCCGAACTCGATCAGTACATTCATCGTTTATGACCTTTACGTAATTAGTCAATGCTCTTGGCATAATCTGAACATGACCCCTAAATGACCCGTGTATGACCCGTACATGACCCGTACATGAAATTGTTACTGAAAAGCAAATTTGTTATTCTAAATTTTCCATTGACAAAAGAACAAAATAATTATAAGGGCTATGCAAAGAGATATTTTGTGTGTTAAAAAATGTAAACGAAACCACATTCAGTACTGGTACCAACCACACCTGAAGCCATCTGACGTGTCACTAGGTAAAAAGGGAATTAGATCTAGCAGACGTATGTATTGATGGGCTCTTCAAATATGATGGCATTTCTTAAGATCAAGGTCAAATGTTTACATTTAAAGGGCAGTGTGTTGTAGAGTTTCGTGGTTGTGTGATGGTTGTCTGATGGTGGTTGTCTGTCTGATGGTTGTCTGATGGTTGTCTAATGGTTGCAGTGTGTTGTAGAGTTTAGTGGTTGTATGATGGTTGTCTGTCTGGTGGTTGTCTGCCTGATGGTTGTCATATGGTTGTATGTTGTATGATGGTTGTCTGATGGTTGTATGTAAGATGGTTGTCTGATGGTTGCAGTGTGTTTTAAAGGTTCGTGCTTTTCTGATGATTGCAGTGTCTTGTAGAGGCTTGTGGTTATCTGATGGTTGCTGTAGGTTGTAAATGGTTGACGTTAGATCCCAGATCTAAAAATAGCACGGGTTCCACCCAACCATGACGCAGCACCACCATTATGAACCTTCATCAGAAATGGGTTATCTTTTTAAAAGGTTGGCTGTGATAAGAAATTCGACATGGGAAGTGTTGTTGACATTGGTAACCATGGACAACGAGTGACGCAGTCTCAGGGATTAAATACGTCGCTTAGAGCGGGAGAAAGCCAGAAAATCGGCCATCAGATGTCTGGAACTAGGTCGTTATTGCCTCGGATTCTGTGAACTAGGTCATGGCTACATCAGACGCTTCGAACTAGGTCACGATTATATCAGACGCTGTGAACTAGGTCATAATTATATCAGACGCTGCGAACTAGGTCACCATTATACATCAAAGTCAAATTTTTACATTTAAAGGCCAGTGTGTTGCAGAGGCTCGTGGTTGTCTAATGTTTGTCTGATGGTCATAATTATATCAGGCGCTGTGAACTAGGTCACAATAGCACCAAATGATGTGAAGTAGATTACAATTACCTAAAACGTAAAAGTATACTTCAGTAATAAATTGTAAGTTAACAATGTAACTAAGTAACTAATTAATTAACAGTAATTACTTGTAAGTTAACAATGTAACTAGGTAACTAATTAATTAACAGGCTGGTAAAACGACAAAGTAATTATTTATTGAACAAATATATTACCAAATGGCACGCGCAAACAGGCCGGATCACCAGCACAGCCAAAAACAACACGATTTGAAATCAGTTTTAAGTTAGGCACTAGGTAATAGATTCCACTGATATTGATTTTTGTATGGTCCTAAAGCCCATTACACTCCAGATTAAATTACACGAGCCGACCCGCGGCGTATCATACGCCGCTATTTAGTTGTTTTATTTTCTACTTTTCAGTAATTTATAATTTGTGAATTCGACAGTACCAATGCTGCCATTGAAAATATTTGATTAAAAACACTAACCCCCCCCCCCCCCCACGTGAAAGCAGCCTCCTATTAGTTACCTCCTCTAAGTTTCAAATCGTTTCAAACTCAATTATCTGCCCCTAATAGCCGTCACCAAACCCGTCTCTGTGATTGTAAAATGTAAACAGAGTGAACACCGCTCACCAGATCATGTGGGGGTGGGGTGGGGGTGGGGTGGGGGTGGTAGTGATAGCGATGGAGAGGAAGAGAGGGGACTGCAAAGGCGCGCTTGCAGCTTGTTTTCTAACTGATCCCAGAAGAGAATTATATATATAGATATAGATAGTAATGACACCATGAGACGGCCCGGCGTGGGTTCGAGAATCACTGGCGCCACGGTTGGTTGGCTGGGATCAAGAGTCGAGTTATTGAGGCGTGGCTAATGCTTAATGAGCCGAGCTCATTAGCTGTGGGGCAGGTGTGTGGGACATATGTTGGACAAGTGGATACAACATATGTTGGACCAGTGGATACAACATATGTTGGACCAGTGGGTAGAACATATGTTGGACCAGTGGGTAATGTTGGACCAGTGGATACAACATATGTTGGACCAGTGGGTACAACATGTTGGGCAAGTGGGTACAACTTATGTTGGTCCAGTGGGTACAACTTATGTTGGACCAGTGGGTACAACTTATGTTGGACCAGTGGTTACACCTTATGTTGGACCAGTGGGTACAACATATGTTGGTCCAGTGGGTACAACATGTTGGACCAGTGGGTACAACATGTGTTGGACCATTAGTCCCTCATCGACGAAAGTGATATTGATACAATTTTTATCGACTGTTGACTGTGTTTTATAACTATGTTGACTGTTGGTTATAACTCTGTTGAAATATAACTATGTTTCAATTAAGTGAGTTTGTGTGAATGTGAGGTGATGAACTTGATTTGTGTGGCTGGGTGGGATAACTGTAGATTAATGCAACAAATTCGAGTTGCCTCGCCTTGTTTTCTATAATGCGAAATTCGCTATTCATGAGCTTCACATGTTAGTACCTTTGCCCCCCCCCCCCCCCCTATACGAAAACACAGTCATATCTGCCAATATGAGCTGCTTCTACAGCATATTAACATTCCATCCCTTAACTCATTCCAAACTATGTGCTACATCCTGAATTCATTCCTAAGGATTAGATAATTATTGAAGTATTCAATTGTCTAGGCACGTATGTGGTAGA